CCGCTGCTCTAAGGAATTTGGCGGCGGACTTCCTCATATCAGCCCCTTGTTGGCAGAGGGAACTTAGCATCAGAAAACGAAGAATAACTTCGTAGTGGGGGCACAAGACAGCTGGTGGGTGAAGTGAATTCCTTCGCTGAGTCCTCGACATGGTCGGTTCGTTCTGTTACATGAATTCCTTCGCTGCTTTGGATCGTTATGTTACGCGGCAACTAAAGAAAACTAGGCGAGGACTCGATTGCAAAAGAATAGTGATGTATTTAATAAAATAAATAAATTAAAGAAAAAAGTACCCACAAGGGGGGAAAACATAATACAAAACAAAACAACAGCTTCAAAAACAAACATAACGCAGGGTAACGAGAAAACAGGAAACGTATACAAGATAACAAGCCAACACAGACTGCAAACACTAAGGAACTTATAAAAGGGACAAATCAGGCAGGTAAAGAGGGATCAACAAGTGGGGCAAAGGAAACCAATAAGGAGATAACAAGGAAGATGGGATCGAGACAGAGACAGGAACACAAAACACCACATGTGCTACATGAGACAGGACTGGCATGTGTACTTCTGAAACCCTCCACCTTCCCTACAGCTCCACCTGTATAGACCTGTTATGAGTAATATCATAAATGCTATTTGTGCAGCAACAGTATGTCTTACATCATGCTACTGCTAATAGATACACAGACATGCAGTCTCTTTACTTGCTCTGCAGCAGCAGCGTAGCAGATCTATTCCGACAAGACCGAATACATTAACATTGCCATATCCGTTACCGTGCTAAAGAGTTGTTGTGATAGAAAAAGATCTAAATAAATTTTCTGCAAAGGGAGAGGGCAGCTCCATCAAACATCTTGATGTAGTTGGACAAAAAGCACCTCAAAGGTGAGACCTTTAAAAATGATTTCAATTCTGAGTTTAATAAAGAAAAGCCAAAACCAAAATGTTTTTATTGACCTAAACCTACAGTATTAAGCAAAATTCCAGTTATATATCCAGTTATATATGACATTTCACTCCATTTATCATGAGTGCTTAACTTTTTTTTCAAAAGAATTCTCTCTCATTTTTGCTTGTCTCTTTAGGTCCACGACTACTTGAGAACCAAACTGTTCTCTTTGTATGAAAGCGACTGTATTTTTGACAAGTTTGAATGTGCTTGGAATGGAACAGACAGGTGAGGCCGTAACCTTTACAACATTTACCTTTGACCTCTGAAATATAACTCAAGTGGATCCACCTGTTGTGCATCTGTTCCCTCTCAATCCCTCTCTTCCTCCACAGCGTGATCATGACGGGGGCTTACAACAACTACTTCCGAATGTTTGACCGGGCGAGCCGGCGTGACGTGACTCTGGAGGCCAGTCGCGAGATGTGTAAGCGGCGTGCCGTCCTGCAGCCGAGGCGCGTGTGTGTGGGCAAGAAACGGAAAGAGACGGACGTCAGCGTGGAAAGTCTGGACTTCAGGAAGAAAATCCTCCACACTGCCTGGCATCCCAAAGAAAACATTATTGCCATCGCCGCCAGCAACAACCTTTACATTTTTCAGGACAGACTGATGGCCAATGGACATCACAACACACCGGAAATACAAAGTGCGCCTCCCAAATGACAGACGCACCCAAATCTTACTTTGTAATGTTACACTGTTTTCTGGCACAAAACACGTGCAAGTCCAAGTCCGATCAATTGCCCTTTATTATCACATTTCCAATCTCCATTCAGTGTCATCAGTATCAGAACAATCTCAAAAACTATTACGAACACGTATAACCTCCCCAACAATTGAATAATAGAAACTATAACTGTGGTTTTGAATGAAAATGTATCACTCGGATTCAGTGCTATAGCATGGCATGCAGTATGAACACTCGGGTTAGATAATGTTCAGCTACCCTGAAACATACAGATCGCACATGCATGTTTACAAAGCTGTTTGCTCATCATGAACAGGGCTTATTTAACAATGATGATTGTAAGCGAATCAGAGCCCTTACAATGCTTTACAACGCTCTGCACTGCTTGTATAGAATGTCGTGTCTGTTCTTTCTTCTCAGGCTTGAGTTTTCTTCAGTTTTCTTTGGTTTGACAAAACTGCTCAGGGACTCTCTAAGGCCTCTTCCTATGTTCAATGGCAAAACTCACCAAAACGATATCCAGAACAAGCAGAGGACAGGATGCAGGAATTATGGAGGTCTGCTGAGGGACATTGCTGGAAGGAAAACAGCATGTGCAGGGATCAGTTTCAATGCTGAGTCATCACCACCCCCACCTCAGTGTGTAAAGAGCATTCCCAATCCAACGCTTTTGAACACATACTTACAGGCATTTGCTAGCTAGTGTACTGGTTGGATGATTTTATTTAATGTGTTGACGAAACAGCTCAGCCAAAAATGAAAAAAAGAAATTCTCACCCTCATGTCATTCCAAATCTGTTTGATTTTCTTCCTGAAGAGAAATTCAGCGGGATGTTCATGCTGCTCTTTTACACACAATATGAAAAAGAAAAACAATCAGATCTCATGGCAATTTGTATGAATTTTACGAGGTGGCTAATTTTTGTGAAATCGTAAATATTTTATGAGTTGCCCAATTCGAATACATTTGAACGAAAGGTCATTGCGATTCTTTTCAAAATTGCCACAGTTAAGAAACATACAAGGACCAATGTAGTTTGCCGTTGTTGACGTCAAACATTGCAAGCTTGAATATGCGTACAAGTTTTTTAATGGTAAAGTGGAGGGGAGGATTTTTAGTGAATTTAAGCCCTATTTGGACGGGATTGATTTAAAGGGGTCATGAACTGGCTTTTAAAATTTTATTCTATTGTTGCCTGAGGTCAAGGTTCGACGCAGGTTCGACCCAGAGTCCGTGTGTTGCATCATTCCTGTCAGATCCACAGCACTGTTCTTTACTCTTAATCGGTCTGCAAATCCAGTCTTGTTAACAAAACAATCCTCAGTGATATGAAGCGAACAGACAGACAATGTTTTACCTCATCAGCTGGAACGTCATTAAAAATAAAGTTTATCCATGCAGTCCTATTGGAATCCAGAGGAAGCTTATGCAGCAACTGTCTTCTTCAACAACCAGGCACTGGACAATATTTTGTATCGCTCGGATCCGGTTTGTCATCACGAGGTAGGCATCTATGTTATCTATCTATGCGTGTAATGCGTGAATCGGTGGGCGGGGCTAAACCGGCCGTGTTGAAGTAGGCGTTGATCTTCTGCGGGGGTGGTGTTTTATCCTCTTTGTTGACATTGTTTCGCACTTTGAAAAACGAGTCGTTTGCTGAGCCTGGTGTCAATAAAAGCTTTTATTGGACTAACAAGGACGTTTTCAGTTTGAAACTTACAGGATATGATGACCTCTTAGATGCCAATAGCTAAAGGAAAAATTGATTTCTCAGTTCATCATCCCTTTAACATGGAATAAAGTTATTATCAAAAGAGCTTTTCAGTGATTTTAGGTCCCGTCCGAATGTGCATCTCAGTAATCATTACGGACAATGTCAATAAAGATTAGGCTGACTTTTACCTTCTGTAAAAAGGTCTAGAAAAATTACCTTAGGTAATACTAATCCCATGAGAACAGACCTACTGTAAATATGGACGCAGGTATTATGTCATTTCCTGTGAAATGAGAGAGTTTTCCAAGGTTTTTCCAAGCATGGAGGTGCTTTAAAATCCATTCAGTTGCGTTCTAGGTGGTGGGACAAGTCTGTGGCAAAACTCAAGGGTTTTCCACACACCATTCAGATCAAAAGAAGGTCGAAAGCACTAGTAAGAGGCACAAAACTTCTTTTAGCGTTAAGTAAATTCCTATTTCCAACATAATCCAATCTGAATTTAATTGATACATCGTTCGACTGGATGTAACTGTGTTTATATTTTTATATATAATTGTAGGTTATATGTGTTTGCGCACATATATGTGTTTTGCGCACCGAGCTAAAGCGAACCATGCCGTGTCGAGCCAAGTCATACCACGCAGTGGAAAAGCGAAGCGAGCCGAACCGTGTCGCACCGAACCGTATGGAGCCGTACCAGCAGTGGAAAAGCGCCAATAAATGCAGAAGTACAATCTATATTTTTCACGAAAGCCCTGAAGCTGTCAGTCAGACTTTTGCTGCCAAATAAACGTGAATTTCTTTGTCCAGGTAACATAGAGAAACAGTAAGCATTGTTCATTTACATATACTAAGACATTGTAACAATTCAAAGCGAGTTGAAAATCTGCATCGGTTGTTGATTGAATAGAGGCAGATAGAGGCGAGTTTATGGTCGATTGTTAGAAAGGGGAGGGGTTTAAGAGACTAAATGATTGAGAAAATCCTGTTTGTCATCAGATAGAAGTCTGTCGTTTCACAGGAAGATGCCATTATTTAGGAATTGTGGAAAATTAAACATGCGCATTGATGAATGCATTTGGTTTTGTGACTAAAACTGATAAAAAAATGCTTTGTTTATAATGAGGACGTTTTAAGCTCTGAAACTTGCCAGGTGTTTTAATGGTACATTGACCTTCTTATACGTCAAAGGATCAAGGCAAATATAATTTCTCATGTCATGACCCCTTTAAAGGTCTGTTCCTTACACCACACTAAAACAAATGGTAACATAAAATGTTTATTTTTCTATTCAACGAAGCCTTTCTGGAGCTCGGTATCCCCAGGTGAACGTTCTTCAAAACTGGTTTGGAAAGACACGAGAGTGAGTAAAGAATAAGAGAAAATTTAAGTGAAGGAATCCTTCAAAATACCAATTCTTCAGAGCTAATTCACAGCTTTGAGATAAGATCCCAATTCCCCTGTATACAAACTATATGCAGCATGATGCCTGGTTGGTACCTTTTGATCCGCATTATTTATATGATGTGATGACCAATGTCCACAAGAGGACGTTCACAGTGATGGTGTTGTTCAAATACAAAGGAAACCTGAACTGAACCTCCACTTCTGCCATATCTTAGATAAACTCACAGAAATGTTGTCGTGTCACTTAACTCTGACTTTTATTTCATTTAAAATAATTCATACAAATGCATACAGTCACAAACATTTCTTTTTGGACTCTTGTTTAACAAAAAATATTAAGATCTCATAGTATATATAGTATGTATATTGCTAGCCTACCACTTTACCAGGAAGGAAACTATGTAGGCGATGGAGAGCTGCAACTATCCCGGCATCCTCAAAAAAAAAAAAAAAAAAAAACAACCAAACAAACAAAAAAAAACACACACGGTACAATCAAGTCACACACAAACAGGCAAGCATTACCGCCAGCTTTGCACAAGACAAATTTGTTTTTGTTTTGTTTTTTCTGTTTTCTTTTTTTACATTTTTCTGTTTTCTTTTTTAACCTTTAACACATAAGGTAATACATGCTCCAAAAATAAAAAACATACTGAGTGTAGTTCTTTAATGTACTGTACTTAATTTTAACTACAAAAAGACAAATGAGTACAAAAACAATGCACTATGTGGTTTAATTTAAAAGGAAGGAGGAAGAAGGAAGGAAGGGGGGGGGGGAAATAAATTTTCCTGAGAGGGTGTGCAAATCCCGCCTCTTTCGGGGCTTTTAAAATCAAACGAGTGAAACTAATCTGCTTTTTATCGCATCTAATATCAGGTGGTGAGATGCCTCCTGTAAGCGGTTTCAGTTTTTTTATTTATTTTTTTAGCATCTACAAACCATTAATCATGTCCTAAAAACTGTACACAAACAGGTTACATTCATGTAATAGCTACTGTTGTTTTAACAATGAAACCCATTAGACAGACACAAAAAAAAGAACGAATAAAAGATCGCCCACTGCACTTGGACAGACTACAATCTAAAACAGCAGGATTTTGCATCAGGGAGAAGTTAACTTTGTTTGAAATCCACACGGTTTTCTCTTTTTTTGTTGTTGTTTTTTTGTCCCCCACTAGTACTTCAAAGAGCGCAGTCCACCAGCTTCAGTCAAAGAGTTGGCTGCTTCGGAGTCGTGGTTGTTTTTAGTGGCTGGTTCTGAGCCCGGGAGCCTGTTTCCGTGCTCTTCTTTGGGGTAAAGAAGGACCAGGAGAGTTCTATAGTGGTACGGAGAGAATTTGAAGAGGGGGGCTACAACTGTTCGTTGGGGTGCTGTTCTCTATCAGGTTCAGGTTTGCCGGTTTGGCCAGGTGAGGGGGCGTGTGGAGGGTGGGCTACGGTGGGCAGGCTGTGGGTTATGGGCACGGCACTCGGCATGATGCCCTCCACTGGTGGTGGTAGACCCCCTGAAGCGAGGCTCACTATGCCCGGGGGGTACCTGCGGAAGGGGAATCATGTTAAAACCTATTAAACACCTGCAATAGAGCAACTGTCCCTGCAGTGAAGCCCTCCGTCTCTATGAAACTACTATGTGTGCATAATGGTTGATTAAAAAAAATTATAGTTTTATCCAGCTCTACAATCTGACTGAATGGGCCGAGTTTAAAAGTCCATCCATCATATACTACACTCCCATTAAAGTCAGTCATCTCTCAAAAAAATAAAAAAAATAAACAAAAATTCATAGTTTTATTTAGCAGGGATGCATTAACCTGATCAAAAGTTACAGTAAAGACAGTAAAAATGTTACAAAGGATTTCTCTTAAAGGGATAGTTCACTTTGAAATTATTTTTGGTATGTTTTAGCTTACCTCAAGGGCATCCAAGATGTAGGTGTCTTTGTTTCCACAGTAGTTTCAATTTTGATATTTTTAGGTCAAACAGTTCGTGTCTCTCAGTCATATAATGGAGGTCTATGGTCACCACCTCAAAGAGCATGCACATAGAAGTCCAAATTAAACATGATTTAATGACTCATAAATGTAAGACACGCAACAAGCGGTTTGTGTGAGAAAACGAACAACATTTATATTGTTTTTACCTCTTGTAAACAGCCACATCCAAGTGATCTGAGGGTGCAGGCGCTTTATGGCTGTGATTACAAGAGGTAAAAACGATATAAATACTGTTCGTTTTCTCACACAAACCACTCGTTTCGTGTCTTAGGCCATCAATGTGTATTTACATTTACGAGTCGTTAAATCATGTTTAATTTGGACTTCTCTGTGCATGCTCTTTGAGGTGGTGACCATAGACATGCATTAGATGACTGACAGACAAGAACGGTTTGACCTAAAAATATAAAAATTGAAAATACTGTGGAAACAAAGACATCTACATCTTGGATGCCCTTGAGGTAATCTAAAACACCAAAAATTAATTTCAAAGTGAACTATCCCTTTAAAAATAAATGGAAGAATCCAGGAAATATTCAGCTTTACCGTCACAGTAAAAAATGACGTTTGAAAATATATTCAAACAGAAAAGAGTCATTTTAAATTGTAAGAATATTTCACAATATTAATGTTTTTACTGCATTTACAAAAATATACAGACTTTTGCATGTACACAAGAAACTTTTCACATGAGTATGGTCATAATTTCTAGTTTATGAATACTAACCTATTTCCTTTGTGCGTCACTGCCATCTTACTCTGAAGTAAACGAGATAATGGATGTGCATGAATTAATAGAGATCAGTGTGCTCAATATTTGGCTTTTGTTAGGGCAGTATGTATAATATCAAGGCCTTATGTCTGCTTTGGCGGCCAAAAAATGGGCTGATGGCACAGTATGCGGCTCAGTGTGCATCGTCCTATATGCTAAGTTTTATGGTTCACAAAAAAAGATTGATACAGTAAAAAAGGGCTCAAAATTTTGATTTCATTAGGGCAATATATTTATATTGTCCCATAAAAACTTTAACAGCCAATTAAAAAATTGAGCAATAGTTTCCCATGCACACGCGAATGTCTGTATATTTTTTTATTTTTGCAGAGGTCCCTTTAGGGGCTCTGTACATGGCTATATTACAAAACGATTGGATTCATATATTTAATAATGTATTTTTTTATTGGAAATTTGTCATAATGTTGCTGTTTCTATAAAAGCAGCTTGAGGCCATGTGTTATAGTGATTTTAAAATGGCACAGAAAAACTAAAACTGTGTTTTTCAAGCATTGGTTTTCCTAAGAGCCACGTAAAAAGTATTGAAAATTTCACTAGTGAATATATATTCTAGTTCTATTGTAGTAATCAGGGCTTGACATTAAATTTTGCTCACCAATCACTGTTGACTAGTGGTTTTCCAAAGTTACTATCTATTAAGCATTTTACATTGGCCATAATTTTGACATCAATACAATGTGGAAAAACTGCCATATACATATTTTTTTATAGCATCTTATAATTTGTCAGCAGGTATATTAGGCTGCCGTCACTTTAAGACCTGACGTACTGATCCATTCTACTGTTACAGATTCGTTTTCTTTCTCAACTGTTTAAGCTCACTTAAAACAACTGACTGTGTTTACTTGAATATTCGCCAATTTTGACATTATTTTGTGTGTACTTAACTGTTTAAGCGCAATAAGCACCGAAAAAGAACTAAATTTATTACAGAGAGGCGGCTTTATGTGCGCGCACTTTGGGTGTGAGAACACAATATGCGGGAATGAGTACAATGCACCAACAATATTCATCCGGAGCAAATGAAATGAGTGAATGATGGGAGGCGGGTTTGTGTGTAACTCACTGTTGGAGAGATGAGAGAGAGAGAAAGCTCAGCTGATAGGGTGTATCTATTCTGCGGAAAATGAGTATTGGAAGTGTTATTCATATACATATTTCAGCATCGATATGTATCGAAAAATATTTTCGACAACACTACATTGCACTTGTTTTATTATTTCAGATGCCTTTTTGAAAGGCTACAATTGAAAAATGTGCATATTATATATCAAATTCAACCTGTCAAAGTGACTAGTAGGAGTGACTGCATTACACGCCACCGCTGAAATCGACCCGCATTTGGCGGGTTGACGGGTGTTAATGTCAAGCCCTGCTAGTAATGTTTGATTCATGAGCAAATCATTCGTTTCTTTTCAATGAATAAGTCGTACAGATTCACATATTGGTCTGAATGATTCATTGGCAAATCAGTCTTAATCAAAACGATTTCAACAATCCTTATCAAGTACTCACAAATGACTGGAAAGGTCACAGAAATTCACTGTTAAAAAACTGTGGGAACCCTTTACGTACCCTATCCGTAAGTTTCAAAATGTAATAACTTTGCCAGTAGATATTAAACAATTCCTTTTTTTTATTTCTTGATCATTATCATACCAAGGTTTTTTTTGTATCATACCATATGTGCGTTTATATAAGCAATTCTGTGTCTCGTCTCATTTGCTGCCATTGCATAGTTTTATGTATATATCATACTGCCTCTCTAGATCCTAATGGAAAATGAACAAACTTCAGTCAATCACTAATTATTTTCCCCACACACTTAAAAGAGCAGTTCACTTTTCAAAAAACTTTTGCTGATAATTTACTCACCCCCATGTCATCCAAGATGTCCATGTCATTCTTTCTTCAGTCGAAAAGAAATTAAGATTTTTTATGAAAACATTCCAGGATTTTTCTCCATATAATGGACTTCAATGGGAACCAAACAGTTCAAGGTCCAAAAGACATTTTCAGTACAAACTGCACACTGTTAAAAGGGCTTTAAAAGATTCCAGTCGATGAATAAGGGTCTTATCAAGCGAAACGAACACTCATTTAAAAAATAAATAAAAAAGTTTAAGTTTTATAAGGTCAAATGTTTGCCTTGCTCTGTTCTGTGATGCAGGTTCGTTACTCTCCTGTTCGAACTCGTTCATCAAAATGAACTAATCTTTTTCCGAGTCATTTGGTTCATTCAACGAACGAAACGAACGAATTGACTCGTTCATTTCGATGAAAACTTGATTAAATTAAATTTTGATTAAAACTTAAACTTTTTTATTTATTTTTATATGAGCAATCCGTTCGCTTGATAAGACCCTTATTCATCGACTGGAATCATTTAAAGCCTTTGAACAGTTTGCAGTTTGTACTGAAAGTGTCTTTTGGACCTTGAACCGTTTGGTTCCCAATGAAGTCCATTATATGGTGAAAAATGCTGGAATGTTTTCATCAAAAACCTTAATTTCGTTTCGACTAAAGAAAGAAAGACATGGACATCTTGGATGACATGGGGGCGAATAAATTATCAGCAAAAGTTTTTTTTTCTAATGAACTACTCCTTTAAATTAGGTGTTTCAGAGACAAGTTATTGTCTCTGAAACTTGTAACTTATTCAAGTTATTGTCTCTGAAACTTGTAAATTATTCAAGTTATTGAATAAGTTAAAAGTTATGACATGTTGATGAAAGACTGTGAAGAGTTTTCTTTTAACATCCACTTATGTGCAATAAGACCAGGAACAAGTATTAAGAAGTCCAAAATGGTCTATTCTGACATCATGTTGATTTTAACCCCAGTAAAAGCAATCTTGCATTGCCAGTTGTGCCTTATTGTATCACAGCATCATCTACATGCTACATTCAGTTAAGAGGAACGAGTTTCTCAATGGTTTGTTGTACCTATAGGTGCCATTGAGTTCTGGATGAACAACAGCCGGGTCCATGCCGGCCCAGTGCGTGGTCTGTGTGAGGAACTCTTTGTTCACGCAGTTCTTCAGGCTGTCTGGAATGCGACCTGGAGGAGGAAAACAACTTTGTTACAGGGAAACCCAGAGTCATTGATCACAGTACATCAAGCCTGCAGAGCTGCAATTAAAAAACGGTTTTCACTGGACTGAAGAAAGACATCAGACACCCAGGCCTCATCAAATCATCTGACAAATGTCTGAGGCTTTTAAAAGCCTTGTATAAAAACTTGGTTACAGGCAGGTGCAACTACACTTAAGCCTGCGTACTCCCTTCAGAAACAAATTATGAAAGTGCAAGACATTGTGAAAAAGGTTCAATTTTTTAAATTGTAATAATGTCATATTTTACACTGATGCATGCTTGATGTACAAAATGATCCATAGTCTTGCTCTCCATCCTCTTAAGGGATGCCCAAGAGCATCCCTTAATGAAGAGCCTCTGCCAGGGGACATTTGGTACCACAGTTTAGAAAAACAGCCTTATAGTTGGGTCATCTATAGCCGTTTCGTGACCGCGGACAGCGAAGGTTCGTTTCTCACTGGATTTGTCATCCATAAAGATTAAAGAAAAAAATGAGTCGGGGTGCCCCTCACAAAAATGTGGGGAAATTTTGTGAGAGCCCGATATCCAAAATGGCTGCCGTCAAATTATTTTTTTTTACCCTATTCACCTGTAGTGGTGTCTCACCTTAAAGAGTCAATTGGCGGCCATCTTGAATTTGAAGGTCAAAAATAGGTCAAATCAATTAATCTACATCATTTATGAGTTTCCTGACGCAAATAGTCTCAGAAACCATGTATTATGCAGCACTGTGGGCAAAACCATTAAAAAGTTCATTTCACAGCTTGGCCGACGGCAGCCATTTTAGATTTCGGGCTCTCACAAAATTTCCCCACATTTTTGTGAGGGGCACCCCGACTCATTTTTTTCTTTAACCTTTATAGATGACAAATCCAGTGAGAAACGAACCTTCGCTGTCCGTGGTCATGAAACGGCTATAGATGACCCAACTATTAGTTTAAAAAGCTTTTCCTGTTAGAGTAGTGGGGATATGGGAATTCCTTACCCATAAACATCCGAAACATTGATAAAACACAATTTTTAAAACCAAGCCTAAGTACTGGCTACTGATGCTGATGAATCTTACAATATGTATTGTTGTATGTTATTTTATTTGTTTACCTGTCCAAGGACTGCAGATGTAAATTAGCTGTTAGCTAACTCTGGTGCAATTACTCTTATTTGTGCATTTTCCCTGTAAAAATGAACAATAAAGTCAAGTAAAAAGTGGTATTGATAGCGTACCGGTAATAGCTCGCCGGATCTCCCGTGCCGCCTCCTCCCGCATCTCTATGGAGGCCTGCTCGCTGTACCAGGCCGCGTGAGGGGTGCAGATCAGGTTAGGGGCGTCTTTAAGAGGACCTTGGCTGAAACTGTCACACACACATGCAGCTGTATAAGAGTCTGAGTGAAAATCACTTCAGTATAATAAGAACTTTTCACAATGAGACCAAGGAATTTTCCAGCTGAAAAGAGCTAAATTTAGCCAATGAAATATTTCAGAGCTGAGAACTAAACTTAAATTTCATGCCGCCTTAGATTTTATATTACATTGACTTTTCTAGACCTGGGAATCCTGGAAACAGCCTGAGGTTTGATTCAGGGTTATTATCATTCCCTGAAACACTTTTGTTAATTGACAAAGCTAAAATATTTACACACACATATAAAAGCACACACTACTAACTGGAAGTCATATAACTAAATTCTATTTCAATAACTAAAACTAAAATTGAAATAAAAATAGATTAAACCAAAATAGTAATATTAAAAAAATCCAACAAAAATAATAAAAATAACAAAAAGCACATAACAAAAGTACTAAAAAGTAAACCGAAAATACAATGAAAACTGAAAATATAAAAGTAAAACATACTATAAAATATTAATAATAACTATAATAGTATATACATATATATAAAAATATACAAAAATATAATATATATATATATATACACTAAAATAACACTAGAATTCACAATTAGTATGAAAGCAATTTAACCAAATCTGGTAGTGATGAATTGTTTTTGCTCCTCTTTTGTAAGTGGCTTCGGATACAAGTGTTTCCTAAATGTAAAATGTAAGTGTAAGTGTAGTGTACATTTCAAAGTGAATCATTATTGATGACGTATACATTCCAGCATTTCTCATAGCTAATTGTCTCCTTATAAACTGCCTCCAGGAAGCAGCTCGCATTCTTTACATCTCTTGAATGCCTTTGTAGCAAACAGATGCTTGTTATATCATAGTGGTTTGGAGCCTAATAAACACTGCAAAAAAAAAAATTAAAAAAAGAGCAGAGTCCGGGGGAGGAATAGGAATGGGGTTTGGAGCAAGCAATCGAACCGGATGTCAAAACAACGCAGTACTTCATCATCAAATGTTGTTGTTCACCTGAAGGGCTCTGTCTCATGGACGTCCAGCGCTGCTCCCCGTATTCTGCCCTCTTTCAGAGCCTGGGCCAAAGCTTTCTCATCTACCAGACCACCACGCGCAGTGTTCACTAGGAAGGCGCCTTGACGCATCTACAATCAACACAAAATGGTGATGGTACACAAACGTGACAACAGCTCTGTGCAAACGTGTGCTCTGGTGTTTGTGAGTAGCACCTGTTTGATGGTGAAGTCGTTGATGAGATGGTGGTTGTGCTCATTGAGGTTGCAGTGTAAGGTGACGCAGTCGCTGTGGAAGAGCAGGTCCTGTAAGGTGTTGACTCTCTGCAGCCCCAGGGCTCGCTCCATCCCGTCAGACAGGTACGGGTCGTAGAACATCACGTTGAAACCGAATGCTTTGGCTCTCAGCGCCACCGCCTGTCCGACACGACCTGAGAGCAAACATATCAACTTCAGCCATGAATGAAGAGCCGTGTAATTATTATACCTGATAAAACAGGCTCTATTAAAATGGTGTGTTTGCTTCCTTACAGGCCACAGTACGCTAAAAGAAAGTGTTTAAAAGGTACCAGGCTGATATTTTGAGTAATGTTTTTGAATGCCATCTTAATTTCCAGCAAAAGTGTGTTTAATTCATTTTGTTACATTTATATTGTAGCTCAATTAATTTCAGCTTCTTTGAAAAGATCAAATGTAATACATAAATAAATGTGATATACAGTAAAATATTATATATGTGAAATATTATTACGATTTAAAATAATATTTTCTATTTGAATATATTTTAAAATGTATTTATTCCTGTGATGTAATGCTGAATTTTCAGGATCATTACTCCAGACTTCAGTGTCACATGATGCTTCAGAAATCAATCTAATATGATGATTTGATGCTCAAGAAACATTTATCATTATTATCAATGTTGAAAACAGTTGCGCTGCTTCATATTTTTGTGGAAACTGTGATAAAAAATATTCAGGATTCTTTGATGAATAAAAAGTTCAAAAGAACAGCATTTATGTGAAATAGAAATATTTTGTAACATTATAAATACTGTCATCTTTAATCAATTTAATGGGTAAATAAATGTATTATTTGAAAAAAAAAAAAAAAAAAAACTGATCCTAAACTTTTGAACAGTAGCATGTGTGTGTGTGTGTGTGTATGTGTGTGTGTGTGCGTGTGCGTGTGTGTGTGTGTGTGTGTAGGTTTGTTAAGTAGTTTACCAGGTCTTCAAAAGGTAAAAAAAAAAAAAAAAAAAAATACTTAAAGAGGTTGTTCCACATTATTAAGCAAGTCACATTTTTCATGCAATATGAGGAGGAAGAAAGATCTCCCTGAAGATGAAAAGTATGAAATAGTGCGAAGGCATACAAACAACTAATATTTAGCACTGAGATTTAGAAAACTGAGATTTGTGAGTGATTTAGGGCACAGAAGAACCCAGTCAGATGAAGGCTTATTAAGGGAAGTTTCTGTCAAACAAATTAGTTGTATCAATCCTGTCAATCACTAATTTACGAGTGTATAAGCATCAGTCCCAGCAACAATTATTCCGGCATCCCTCCTCCTCCTCCCCATGTCATCCTCTATTTCTCTTATTCTTCCTCAGAGCAGTACTGTTATAGGGGGTCTAACCTCAGGTTTGAGCCTCCTTTAAGGACAGCAAGCCAAATATTAAGACTGAATGGGCAGGTGAACTTTAGAAAAAAGCCACAGTTAAGCAGCAAACAGGTATTTGAAGCCGCCGGTGTCTCTGGAGTCTCAAAAAAGCTCACTGAGATGATACAGACTGAAAAATAAATTATTTAGCGCTTTATTTAGCGAAATATCTTACCATTCACTGGTCACACTCAATCACCATTATATGTTTGGTATAAACGCAACTACTCTCATGTTATGCCACAGGACAGCTAATGTGAGTATATATTCTGTCATCTTTGCAGGACTGTGATGTGTAGAGTGCACAAAGTAACATATTGCAGCAAGTTGTGAAAGTAAAGCACATAACGGGCACAATACCGGTATAAATATGTGTCACATGACTAAACTTACATCATTGGTTTTAAATGCCTCCATTTTGACAATCCACACTAACCCTTCAAATTCATCCACTTCGGAGAGCGTTTTCAAAAAGCTTTTTTTCATTAATGAAAATACCGTCTCAGAGTGGACGGAAGGCCGAAAAGATGCGTTTTCAAACGAAAACGTATTATTTGGACATGCAGAGTCCTGCGAGTTCAGCTCCAACCCTAATCAAAAGCACACGAACAAGCTCATCAAGGTGCGAAGGGTTGCTAGAAAGCTACAGATGGGTGAAGTGAGATGGAAGGTCCGTTTAGGGTCCCTGAGGGTGTCAAAATAACTTCTGCAAGATATGTGGAGTTCATAACTGACCATTTTCTGCTTTGGTATAAAAAGAAGGATAAGTGCCTTCTGAAATAAAAGGATTTTCATGCAGGGAAATGCAGCAAAATAGCACACAGCAATGACACATTTTTAAAATGTCTTTCTACACCTACTGTAAACATTTCTTAACAAACAAATTTCTTAAAAAAAAAAACAAATAAAAAAAATCTGAATGTCTTTTGTGCTAAAATGACTGATATGTCAATTGTTGGAACACAGTGAGTCTGTATATACTGTATATATATACAGTATATACAAAATATATATATATATATATTCGTGCTGTCAAACGATTAAAATATTTAATCGCGATTAATCGCATTAATGTCATAGTTAACTCGCGATTAATCGCACATTTTTATCTATTCTAAATGTCTCTTGATTTCTTTTTGTTACATTATTTTTTTCTCATTTTAATGCTCTTATCAACATGGAAAAGTGGATCGGCTTGTTTAGTGCAAATGTTTTTTTTTATTATAATTATTGAAAATAACATTGGAATAGTGTTCAATTTCACACTAACATATATAAATAATCTCTCACACAATGTAACACTGTCTATCAATAAAAGGGTGAAAGAAATACTGACGAGGTCCTGATATTGACGAGCGGGTGGAGAATTCGCATCATCTGTGTGTGTGTGTGTGTGTGTGTTTGCTTGCTTGGCCATCATCAAGTGGTGTTTCGGACGTGCTGCGATGATGATAGCTCAGTTCACAACGACAAAACACACAGATCACTTGGTCTTGTCAATGGGACAATTTGGCAACTTTTTAAAAGTAAACTTTCCATTCAGTATCTTAGGGCATCCATTTCGGCGTCTCGCGCTCGTCATCCACTCAAAACATTACCTCGCAAGCCGAAACGAGTGTGTGCGGAACAAAACGTCCTTGTTTTGTTGCTTCTTTGACCAAAGCGCAAGCGGATCTAGCTAGACCGTAAACAAAACAACAGGCACGGCGCAAACACACGTTTGGGCTTGCGAGCCGGCTTTGAGTGGATGACGAGCGCGAGACGCCGAAATGGATCAGGACGCATGCCGCGTCCTGTAGCAAAAGCATGTGAAAAAATTACAAAGTTTGCTAGGACAAAAAGATTGTTAATCGCGCGATAAAAAAATTAACGCCGTTAAAATGGGTTTGCGTTAACGCTGTTAATAACGCATTAAACTGACAGCCCTAATATATATATATATATATATATATATATGCGTGTGTGTGTGTGTGTGTGTGTGTGAGATTTTGTGAAATAAAAATGTTTGAAAAATTATGTATTGCTAAAAATTAAACTAAAAATTAAAAAAAAAAATCCCTATTGTTGACCACTGAAATGAGCACAACTGTATCTTTAATTCTCTTTTTAGTCTGTGAAGTAATCAATTCTTCTTGTAACTTCTGGATGGAGAGATATGCAGATCGCATAGTCTCCACACATTCCCGTTTCCTGTTATCTTTATAGCCACTGGTGGCGCCTTCATCAGAATTTGAAATGTTTACTTAGCCTGCACCAATCTATTCATATTTACCCAAGCCTACATTGCGCATAAAACCAAAACAAACCACCACTGTTACTTTATATCTCCTTCAGAAGATCTCTTTCTGTCTCAGTGGGCTTTTCCTGGCCAGAATACACAGCCAAGTGGATCAGACTTCATGTCTAGAGTCTATGTGAGACAACACACCTAGGCCGATGATCCCCAGCGTCTCTCCTCTGATCCGGGCCGCCCCAGACGCGACCTCTCGTATCTGTTCCACGCTCTGGACCCGCGTGCCCTCCCGGAGAGCCTGGTGCAGCCAGGTGGTGCGTCGGTACAGGTTCAGGATGTGACACATGGTGGAGTCTGACGTCTCCTCTACTGAAGCTGCCGGCATGTTGCAGACTGCTATACCTGCAGATGTGGAAGGGTTACGGAAGGGTTATCTTCATACAGCAAACACACACACACATACATTGTTGTTTAATGGAAAGCCTTCTTAACCATTACCTAAGTCTCCGGCAGACTTTATGTCGATATTGTCAAAGCCGCTCCCAATGCGGACAATTATACGCAGTGCTTTGAACTTTTCCAGGTCCTCCCTCATCAGCGTGATTGTGTGGTACATGAGGGCGCCCACTGCTTCATTTAACACCTGAGACAATATACAGAAAATACAGTCAGTCTGTGCTAAGAAGATACACACAAGTAGAACAGCTCCAAAACTAAAGGGGCAAAAAAATGCAGTGATTTATTGACACACTTACAGACATTACTTGATCAATCACAAAACGTACTTATTTGATTAGTAACATAGAAATAGTGCAGAACTTTAAGGCCTGGTTTCACAGACAAGCCAGGATTGGGCCTTAGTTCGATTAGGACATTTAACTCTTTCCCCGCCATTGACGGAAATTTACGGCTCTTATACGGTAGAGGGCGCTATTACACATCCTCTGAAAGACTACTGAATCTTCAGATCAAAACACAGGGGAAGAAGCAGCAGAAACAAGCGATAGCATATGTAAAATAGCGTGATCATCAACATTAAACAGAACAAATCAAAACTGCCTAATGTTATTCAGTGAATTAACCTATGGCTAAGCCACACCCTCAAACGAGATGAGCCAATCACAGTGCACAGCTAACCCAATAGAGAGCCTAAGTCCCGCCCCTCCGCTTCCGGCTCATGGGACCTTATTTCGGAAAAAAATATGTATGGTAGTCAATGGCGAGAGACAACTTATCTTTTTATTCCGTCTGAACGGTGTCCTGAATTACTCGTATGATGTTTGTCAATTTAAAAGATAATTCTGAAAGTCAAAAACGTCACAGTTTGTCATAAAACAGAAGAGTAACATTTAGTTTTATGTGAAAATCGCTCTATGAACTACATCTCCCGGGAAGCGAATCAACGATCAAGATCCGCTGCTCTTGTGTGTGCAGTCTGGTACGAAACACTCAGGCATGACGGCGTAACGTTACGATAGTGGCATAAGACTATAGAAACAATGACAGACAATAGTCTCAGTAAAGTTAGCTTCATTCATTGACAGAAAATGTGCACCTTTGGGGTTTGTAGTCTTTGTAATTACGTATTTTCACAGTCTTATACCTCAACGGTTTCACATCAAACGGCGACTTTCTTTACTTTAAAATGTGTAATTCAGGGCACAATTCAAACCAGATCAAAATATTTGTTGTCTCTCGCCATTGACTACCATGCAATATTTTTCCGAAATAAGGTCCCATGGTGGTCGACCGGAAGGGGAGGGACTTAGGCTCTCTATACACTCGGACATTCTCTGCTTCCAACATGAGGAAAGCAGCTGCCGCAGGACAGCAAATGTGAGTAGACTACATTATCTGTTATCTTTGCAGTACCGTGCTATGAAGAATAGCACATATTAAGTAACATAGAAAGTAACATATTTTAGCAATAGTGTAAAAATGAATAACACATAACAGGCACAATACCGATAAACATGAATATCTATTGGTACTACATGGATCACATGACTAAACTTACGTCATCGTTTTGAAATACCTCGGGTATTTTTCCACTTCCACTTTCCACAAATTTTTCCACTTTGGAGAGCGTTTTCCAAATGATACGTTTTTGTTGACTTAAAACATCGTCTCAGTGTGGACGGAAGGCCAAAACGGAGAGAAAAATATACGTTTTCAAACGAAAACGTATTAGTGTGGACATGGCCTGTAATGCAATAGCAAATGACGTAAAGAGCTGAAATTACATAAGAAGTTTTAAGTCAGAACTGAAATTCTTTCTGAAGAAGACTACTCAAATCTGTACTCACTGAAGCTGATGTGGTGTTGATAAAATGTGTTTTTTTTCAAGGTGATTAGGGGAGCAAGGGGATTGGGAGTTTGTTTTTATTTGTACCCTGCCATGGGACTGCAGATGTAAAATAGCCTATGGCTAACTCTGGTACAATGCATCAAATGGCAACATATATGTAAATTGTACATGCCCCTAATAAATAAATTAAAAATAAATAAATAACTAAACTAACTTAGATTGATTTTAAATCAATAGAAATTCAGTGTACCATTGCAAAAATACTACCCAGATGTAAACATACTTTACCTGAATAAATAAAATGGAAAATTAATAAAACGTGGTTATGAGGTTAAAGTAATGATAGTAATGTTTTTCATAAACAGTAATGAGAATGTGGGGATGGATTTCATTGCCATGAGATAATATGTGCTTCGGTAATCGTGTTTTTATGTGAATCTAATAAGGAAAACCTGATGTAGACTCTCTGTGGACAGTTTATGCCTGCAACATGCTTCACTGTTAATATGACTCAACAACATGAGTTTCATTTCTGCTGATGACCAAAAACAAGAGCTTTACTGTCCAACTTCACTAACAACGGGTTCATGATGATTAATCAGTTTATCTAAAAAACACTTGTCAATCTAATAAACCATCAAGTTCTGGAGTTACACAGCATAAGCATATTAACCATATCATGGGCGCTATATTTTAACAATCTAATCACATGGTCTAAAGCGCACGGCTTCGTGTCCGAATCCACTTTTGCTAGTTTAACGACGGGAAAAATGGCCAGCGCACTCGATCGCATGGTCTAAAAGTGTTGTCCCTATTCTCTAAATGAATAATAAGTGTGTTTTGGGGGGGTAACGTGCAAATCAAAGTGTAATTTCCCATCCCCTTTAAAAGCCAGTTGCGCTCGCGCCATGGCGGATTCGCTATTTACATGTTGGAATTTGCCAGCGGAAAGAGTAAACGGATCTGCTCGTCTGCGAGGTTAAAGCGTGCAAGCAGACCATCTACGGGACAAGCCGAATTCCACCATATCATATTAATCTTTTACATTGTAATCTTTTTATTTGTAATATGTGTGCTGCTGCAAGTCAGCTCTGTGTGTAATAAGCAGAGTGTACATGTGTTGTGTACCCACCTATTGGTTTTTACTAATTGCTCAAAAAAAAAAAAATATTGAGACATTAAATTTAGACCAAGTGATAGTTGGTCAATGGCTCAGTCCATTTCAGTTTCCTCAAAAGTGGAACGGGTCAACAATGCGCCTGAAGACACCTCGTTTCAGACAAGCACCGCACAGATGAGACTTTTTTTTTATATTTTAGTGCACAATTTTCATGTTACTTTATCACTTACTAATTGATTTAGCATCTTATCAGACGTTCTTTCTCCATATGAAGAGACTGAACAGTTTCTGTCCATTCAGCAGTGGGCGATTAAATAAGTCAAATAAGAAGGCTGTTTGCAGGTTTGTGGGAAGGGGCAGAAAGCGAGTGCCATCTGTCTATGCAGGCTTGGGGAGTGTTCTTAGAGAATCAGCCTGGCAAGCGCCCAGAACCACACAAAACATGCCAAAATCAGCACTTCAGCAGAAAACCAATGCGGGCCCTGGCTGCATTAAATGTCTGAATGAGCATAAAAGCATTCAGAGGGAGCAAATATATATATGACATGGAATTAAGGGAATTGTGTTGAGAGGGAATGATTTATGGACGGTCTTTGGCATGTAGCTAGTTGAATGAATGGAGCAAACAAAGTTCATTTAGGGTCACGGGTAGTGTGAAAGAGAAAACCATCACTGACAGCAGCAAATCAGGTTTCCTCTAGGGCTATCAAACGATTAATCGCGATTAATCACATCCATAATAAAAGTTTGTGTTTACATCATATATGTGGGTGTGTATAATTATTTTGTATATATATATATATATATATATATATATATATATATATACACACACATGCATGTATATTTTTAAAACTTTTATTTTGGATGCGATTAATCGCGATTAATCGTTTGACAGCCCTAGTTTCCTCTGTGTACAAACGAAGCGTTTGACAGCCCTAGTTTCCTCTGTGTACAAATTAAATGGTGCTCTTGCTCCAGCCAGTTGTATTCGATATTTTTCAGAATTTATTAATCTAGGTTAATGTTGTATTCTACATGATGTAATACATTTAGTTTAGTAATTTTGTATGAGTAAACCTGAATTAACAATGAATAATAGTATATTTGAATATACAATATTCTAAATAAACATATTCTAGTATACATTACCAGTGTTTGTAAAAATGATGACACATGCTGGTGGATGGCTGGCAACTTAACAAAAATAAAATTAAAGTAAAGGTTGGGGTGGGTTCGATTTTTTTTTTTTTTACAATTTTGGAAAAAGCATCTTATGTTCACCAAGGCTGCTGTAAGAAAAAACTGTAATATTGTGAAATTATATATATATATATATATACATACTGTATATATATATAGTGAATATTTTTACCACTCTAAATAACTGTTTTCTATTTAAATATATTTTTAAATATTTTTAATCATTCTAATATGTTGATTTGCTGTTCAGACAGTTGTGCTGCTTCATATTTCAGTGGAAACTGAGATACTTGTTTTTCATGATTATTTGATGAATAGAAAGTTTAAAAAACTTGAAATCTTTTGTTACATTAAAAATGAATTTACTTCCATTTTGATAAGTTTAAAGCATTCTTTAAAAACAAAGAAACTAAAACTTTTAAACGGTAGTATATTCCCTAGATTCCCTAAAAATGTTAGTTCATGATATATAATCGGACCTTATTTTAACACATTACTGAATTTAATTTACAGGTGCACATTTCTTTCGGAGACACGACACTGGAGTCATTGACACTGGAGTTCATTGCTGGGAAACATGTCAAAAACACCATTCGTAATGATTGACAAAGAGCAATGTGTTCTTTCACAATGAAACAACACAACATGACAGATCTAGCTTTAACAAATCCTAAAGAAAATGATTGATCAATGGCTGCCAGCAAGAGAGACTGAGAATGAAATAACTAGTACAGCTGGTAGGATGGCTGTGAGATTTCATCACGCTTCCCAGTGAATTCATCTAATGAATCATCGACTTATTTCTGGCAAAAACGCTCGCAGACTCATAAATATTACCCCATTGTGCAATCTACTTTTTGAGCCTGTGAGATGAAGTGCTTTTTCCATGTAACAAAGCCAAAGAGGCTCCATCATATCGAGGCAGTCGTATCTGATAAATTGAAAAACCATTCTCAAACATATATTACATGATATATTAATCTGTATGAACCAGTGATGAAAAAAACACCTCTCCACACAGTAATAAATAGCCTACACATGAACAGCATTCATTTACTTCTGTGACGTGACATTCCTTAGTTAAATAGTGAGAATTAATGGCATGTTTTTTTTGTTTTGTTTTTTTCCGTTATTGTCCATCTTCCAAATTCTTAATTTGAATTTTTGACATCAGGCCTTATTTCTAAGTGAGCCTTAGTGTTATTTATCAGTGGAGACAGTTTTTTTTTTTTTTATCCAGTCGTCCCAGTTGCATAGTTCGCCGGTGCTAGGCTAGCGCGAGTCAACGGTAACTTTTAGCATGCCATTAAAAACAGTTTTACCCACTCCACAGTACACCAAAAGCAAATCAATTATAATGCCAGACTATTGATGTAAGTGTCTGTTGAGCTAATAATGTTAGAAATCAAACTATCCTTTTCATCTCAATGATTGCTTTACATTTACAGGAACTAGTTTCTCAGCAGCGGCAGAATTTTACTACGCTCGGGTTAGTAGTAACTAGTAGCTAGCTTAGTAATAGTTGTTGAGGTAAACGAAGACAACATGGTGATTCGGTGTGCATTTCGCAATTGCAAGAACAAACCTAATAAATGTTAATCGCAAAGTTTTCACAAATTTCCTTTTGAAGATCCAGAAAGGATTCAACTTTGGATTATTTCTGCGGGCTTGCAGAAAACTTCAAATAATAGCCGAGTCCCAAATAGGCGCCTGTCCCTTTTACACGCCTGGTGTGGCTGCCAGGTTTGGGTAAATAAAGGCCGGTCTCAAATAGAGGCCGGGTCTGTTTTTTTTAGTTTCGGGTTGTAATAAATCTAATAAAATCCGTCAGATCGTCAGCTTTTTTGGCGGCCGCAAAAGCAAATTTCTGTCCCACCAGGTAACTTCATATCACTCCACCGCCGCTGTAGACCGTGCTAATAAATATAGGTAAAACAATATAACTATTGCAATGCGATGAAAGGGTAGTTTGATTTCTAACATTATTATCTCAACAGACACTTACATCGATAGTCGGGCGTTATAATTGATTTGCTTTTGGTGTACTGTGGAGTGGGTAAAACTGCTTTAATGGCATGCTAAAAGTTACCATTGACTCGCGCTATCCTAGCACCGGCGAACTATGCAATTCGGACGACTTATTTTATTTCGGTTTTGTCTTCCAATGATTCCAAAAAAATTAGTTTGAGGTAAAACTATTTAAAACAAGCCGCATTCTATCGAGCGCACCTTACTTTGATTCCCTTCACAGGGGTGTGCCTTCATTCCTCCCTAAAAGCCCAAACTGTCTAATGTGGCCAAACTACGGGACTATTTTGATAATAAAAGGCTTATTAAAAGCACAATAATCAGCGCAAGAGACGCTTTCCCAAGGAGGCTTTCTGTGTGTGCGCTCCAAAACAGGCTGCAATTTACAAGCAAATTATACGTTGGGATCGATAAAATACACATAAAAATGACTGTGTCAACATTACCGGCTTTGGTGTATTCACTTAAACACAGTCATTTCTGTCTTAAGGGGAGGTAAACAGTAGAGAGAAACATGACATGTATTTTTGATGTCTTAAAGTTACAGCGGTTTAATACAAAGTCTAATAAACCTTGGCTGCTGATATTTGGAAGAATGTTTTAATCAAACAGATCTCAATCCCCATTGACTAGTAGGAATGGTAGTCAATGGTGAATGAGATCTGTTTGATCAAAACATTCTTCCAAATATCTTCCTTTGTGTTCAGCAGAACAAATAAACACATAGAGGTTTGGAACAACATGAGGGTGAGTAAATACTGACAGAATTTTCATTTTTGGGTGAACTAACCCTTTAATCAAACAACAAAAGAGAGAAAATCACTCGCTGCTCTTGAATGAATAACTTTAGGCACTAAAGCTAAAACTAAGCACACTGTTATATTTGTTATACTATGTTTATTTGTCCATTTGACTGTACTTTGTTTCTTTGTTCTGGTTCTTATGGTATGTTATCTGCATATAAAACACAAGAAATACCTCCAGACTGGTGCATTTACCATTGATGTTTTATATTCAAACATTGCTGTTTCTTTTGCTATAGATATTTATCATAACACTTTACAATAAGTTTCATTGGTTATCCTTATTGAATGAACTGCACTTCTACTGCATCATATATTAATCTTAGTTAATGTTAATTTCAACATTTAGCCAACTCATACATTAAAATCAAAAAGTTGTATTTGTCAACATTAGTTAATGCACTGGGAACTAACATTTTTATTAACTAAATTAACAAAGATTAATAAATACTGTAACAAATGTATTGCTTATTGGTTAGTTGTAACATGTTGATGTTAGTTGTAACAATGTAACAACATGTTAGTTATATTACATTAACTAATGTTAACAAATGAGACCTTAATTATAAAGTGTTACCATATTTATTTTACACTTTAGTTCATAAAACAATGTTAATTAAATATAACAAAAAGAACCGATAGTACCGTTATAGTTCAGGCTCAATAAACAGTAGTAATACGGTTGATTAAACCTCAACAATCGCTACCCATCGCTACTACTAATACAGCAGGAACCAATCATCTGTGCCCTAAGGACAATGATGCGATTACAACCAGCCATGTACAGAACTTTGTATTAATTAAGCCAAGAGCAAAAATTAACATATTGCAACTGTACCAAAGTAAGTGCCATTAAGTGCTAAGTGTACCTTCTCGTGGATCTCCTGTGTGGACTGGGCATCACAGAAGGCCACGGTGGCCACGTCCTTCAGGATGGGCATCTCCACAGTACAGTCCCGCCCATCCAGCAGAGCCACCAGAGGACGAGGGTGCATGGGCCCATTCATTATGGGAGGCCTGATGCCTGTAGAGAGTAATAAATCACATATGTTATATGTCCTGAGCTTGTGTTCAGGTGTGTTCATTTGGTCTACATAAGCAAAGTGAATTAACTGTTCTGATATTAATCTTTCCAAATGATTTGGCTCAAAGATAAACACAAATATTGAATGCCAAGTTTCAGATTCTAAAAATAAAGTGACTCACAAACACAGAAAACACTGTATTAGCAGTTGATTCCTGTTTTTATTGCTCAATATTAAAAATGATTTTCATGTTTTACAACTGCTGTTATAGTAACACGGAGAGCTGTTGTGGGTTTTATAGTCCTTTCAAAATGACTAATCCTGCTATTTTACTGAAAACAAGACCTTTCTTACATTTAAATGTCCATTGCTTATTATCAACCCTGATGATGTCAGTACCATTTTCCGTTCCACTGTGCAGATGACCAGTTTGACTGAAGAAGAACAATTGTCCATAAAAAGGGCTATATAACAGACTACAAACTAGGTGTGATACACATATACTCAACCAGACACTTGATATCAAACACTTAATAAGATACGTGACTATGTATATAATGATACATGATACATGTATATACATGACTGATGATGATATCATGATGAAATACACAAGTGCTCGTGTGAAATCAGATTTAAAAGGAAAAACAATGAATGAATGATCTTCATTGAACAGCAGCTGATGTAACAGATGACGATGAGTAATAAAGACTTGAACACCTGCGTGTCTTATCCCAGTACCTGTTCCATTTTAAGCTCCTCATCATTTTCAGTCCTACGCTATCATTTTACTGTGATGAGACTATATATGCTGGCCATGCATTGCATCTAACATATATAATAAAAAAAAAAAAAACCACTTCAAACGTGCTTATCAACGGTCAGTCGCCCACTCCCATGATGCACTGCGATTGATAATAGAGTCAGATTTGAACCCTTTGGAATAAACTTCAAATATATTGAATTGTAAATTATCAATGACAATTAAATCTATTTTTTCTATTACAGCATTCTCAATGATATACACTCACCTAAAGGATTATTAGGAACACCATACTAATACTGTGTTTGACCCCCTTTCTCCTTCAGAACTGCCTTAATTCTACGTGGCATTGATTCAATAAGGTGCTGAGAGCATTCTTTAGAAATGTTGGCCCATTGATAGGATAGCATCTTGCAGTTGATGGAGATTTGTGGGATGCACATCCAGGGCATGAATCTCCCATTCCACCACATCCCAAAGATGCTCTTTTGGGTTGATATCTGGTGACTGTGGGGGCCATTTTAGTACAGTGAACTCATTGTCATGTTCAAGAAACCAATTTGAAATGATTCGAGCTTTGTGACATGGTGCACTATCCTGCTGGAAGTAGCCATTAGAAGATGGGTACATGTTGACCATAAAGGGATAGACATGGTCAGAAACAATGCTCAGGTAGGCCGTGGCATTTAAACAATGCCCAATTGGCACTAAGGGGCCTAAAGTGTGTCAAGAAAACATCCCCCACACCATTACCACAGACATTATTACTGAATGTCTCAAAAGAAATCGAGACTCATCAGACCAGGCAACAATTTCCAGTCTTCAACTGTCCAGTTTTGGTGAGGTCTTGCGAATTGTAGCCTCTTTTTCCTATTTGTAGTGAAGATGAGTGGTACCCGGTGGGGTCTTCTGCTGTTGTGGCCCATCCGCCTCAAGGTTGTGCGTGTTGTGGCTTCACAAATGCTTTGCTGCATACCTCTGTTGTAACGAGTGTTTATTTCAGTCAAAGTTGCTCTTCTATCAGCTTGAATCAGTCAGCTCATTCTCCTCCGACCTCCAGCATCAACAAGGCATTTTCACCCACAGGACTGCCGCGTACTGGATGTTTTTCCCTTTTCACACCATTCTTTGTAAACCCTAGAAATGGTTGTGCGTGAAAATCCCAGTAACTGAGGAGATTGTGACCGGCCCGTCTGGCACCAACAACCATGGCACGCTCCAAATTACTTAAATCACCTTTCTTTCCCATTCTGACATTCAGTTTGGAGTTCAGGAGATTGTCTTGACCGGGACCACACCCCTAAATGTATTGAAGCAACTGCCATGTGATTGGTTGATTAGATAATTGCATTAATGAGAAATTGAAGAGGTGTTCTTAATAATCCTTTAGGTGAGTGTATGGGAATGCAGAACACAATCTTGTCTTTGTATCTGATTTTCACATATTTTTGCTATCAGTAAATAATTGTAATGTTGATTCATCTCAGAGCTGGTTGGTTGGGTCAAATCCTTAAAAATAAAATAAATGGGAAAAACACTTCCAGGAGCAAAGCTGCTGAAAAAGTGGGCCGTCACTGCTGCACTGTATTGTCATTGGCCACAAGACTGCTGCTTGGCTTCATTCTGCCTAGTGTCAGTAAAAAAAAATTCTACCAACAGACAGATAATTAATTTATACTATCGTTCAAAAGTTCGGGGTCGGTAAGATTTTTGAAAGAAGTCTCTCTTATGCTCGCCAAGGCTGTATTTTTCATAAAAATATGTTAATATTGTGAAATAACTGTTTTCTATTGTAATAGATTAAAAAAAAAATACTAATTTATTCCTGTGATGGTGAAGCTGAATTTTCAGCATCATTACTCCAGTCTTCATTGTCACATGATCCTTCAGAAGTCATTCTAATATGATGATTTGCTGCTCAGGAAACATTACTTCATTATTCTTTTTTCAGGATTCTTTGATGAATAGAAAGTTCAAAAGAACACAATTAGGCTTATTTGAAATAAAAATTATTGGTAACTAATGTCAATTTCGATCGATCTTTGCTGAATAAAAGTCCTAATTTCTAATTAAAAACTCAATGACACCAATCTTTTGAACAGTAGTGTATATTTAAGAATGAAGCTTGAACATGTACACCTCTCCCAGCCAGGCAAGTGCAGACATGGCGTAATCATGTCCAAAAGACATAGACACACCCACACACACACAATACACACGTTTATGCACAAACACGACCTAGTTTACCTCTGTAAAAAGATCCCTTGCCTTCACGAATTCGTTTCCACACAGAACCAGCTGTTTTCTCCATTTGTAATGAAGGTGAACATTTACAACCGTAAATTATGTGTTAGTGACATCTAAACTATCCCAGCAGGATCCGGTTATCTTGTAACACAGCCACTGTTATCTCCCTTTTCTGATTAGGACAAACTGCCAACAACATGCAATAAGCTATACGCTTCCAAGCACACACAAAAATGCTACAATGAAGAAAAGCATGACATATTTTGCTCATAAGAACAATCTGAAGAATCTCTCCATCTTTGAATGTAGCTATAATCTAGAATCCTGCATTGGAAAAAAAACAAAAAAAACACATGGATTCTCACAACACACCGTTCTGTCAAAATCCCTCGGCACTCTGTTCATATTAGCCTGCCCCGAGGGCAAGCTGGATCTGTTTGAATTAGCTAGTTCATAGCAACAAAAACCAACAGGGTCAGTCACACTATAGCGTCTAAAGACCTCAACTGCCCACGGGCGATAATTCAAGCTGACATCCCCCCCCTCCCCCTTTGTTGTCTTCTGGTGAAAATGAAAGCCAATTTCAAATCCCAACCTCGCGTTCACGGTGTGAGAAGAACAAAACCTGTTTTTAATGACACCGTTTTGCTCGTCACATGAGTGAGCAGCTGTTTTTTTTGTGTGTAATTCGTGGAAAGCCAATGCATTGTTCTCATCCAAGATTTTCATGAAATGTGCACTTGGGAATTTCTTCAAAAAGATAGAAAGGGAGTCACTAGAAAATTTATTAAAATCTGTATTTAACTTTCATTACCCAACGTCACAAATCAACCAACCTAAAAATATGACCAAAAAGATCAAGTCAGACCAGGAATATGGCCCAAACAAATATGACAGATTTGTTCATTTTATACAATGGCTTAGCTATTTCAATGAACTCCTAAAAACCCTATTCTTCCTAAGGCTAAGTATTGCCATTTTTGGACTCTTTTAAAATGAGAATTACTTTCGAAGAGAGCAAAATTAGGAAGTAAGTCAAGGCCGGAACTGGAAGCCACATTTCCACTGCACAATGTGCGGGAGGGCCATAGGAGAGAGAGTCATGTCCTTGCCAACCCCTCAAATTTTCCAAAGGGGATAGTGTGTGTGTGTTTTTTTTTTTTTTAATCTTTCGAGCTTGGGAAGATTTATGCAGTTAACAAAGCGACCCATCAGAGGTCCGTAGCCCCGGCTCTCGGATGAATATTGTCTTTTGCAACAGAAAGCAAGCAATTGTACGTGGATGAATGGCTGAAATGAAAGATAATAGGAAAGAGGGAAAAGCGGAGCAGAGACGAGGGGAGGAGGAAAGGAAGAGGGGGAGGGGAAGCCAGAATATTGTACGACAGCCGAACGAACGCTCAAATATTGGCACAGATATCCGTACAACACTTTCACGTGTGGCCCCATGCAGAAAGGAAAGGTAAATGTTTACCTAAAGGCAAGCCTTTGTTCAGCAAATGAGAGCTTCCCATCTCTTAGGATCCGCCGGAAAAACGAGCGTGTCTCCTCAGCAAGGCATTCACCAAAATCCTCAGCATATGGCGGCTACTTCAATTTTCTTATTCCTTCTTTTCTGTGAGTAGCTAGCTTAAACACACACACACACGCTCCCACCCCTCCTTGTCTTTCTCTTTCTCTCCAACTCCCTCTCTCCCCCCCCGCTCCCTCACTTTCTATTTCGACTCTCTCTCTCTCTCGGACAAACACGCATGCACACACAGAATGCAAGTGTCACTGCATTTATGGGAGTGGGAGAGTGTGTGTGTGAGGTGGCTAAAAGAAAGACTGGAGAGGAATGGGGTGGAGCCTGGGCTCTCACAAAATTGATCTTTTGTTTCCTGAGAGGGGGCAAAAAGAAAAAAAAAAAGATAAATGGAAAATGCAAGAAACAGCATGAAGGGATTGAAATGTGGAAGTGTATTTCCTATTGTTAAAATGTTATTGTTTATGATTGTCTTTTAGAAAGAAAAAAAAAACAACTAAAATCAGCATTTTTGGTCACATCCAACTGTAGATGAATAGCCTAATGGTACTGTCACATTTTGTCCGTTGTTTCACTTTCTATTTCATTATAGACATTTAGGGGCTGTTTACACCACACCGTTTTCAACTAAAAACGTAACACTTTTTATGCGTTTTGGCCGTTAATTTACACGACAACGGCATTTCGGGTGCTTGAAAGTGCAGAGTTTTTAAAACGGGTTTTCAAAGTTTCTGTGTAAAAAACAAAAACGCAAATCTCTGAAGACAATGACGTCATGCATGCGAATTACACGTTTCATGCAGTCTGTAGTGTTTTATCGCCATCTACTGGTCTGGCAGCAGAATACAGCGGTTTTAGACGTTTTCGCAGATCCGTGTGAATGGGGATTGTTTTGACAATGATGCCGTCTGTACATGGAAAACTCAAAGGAAAAAACTTGTCCGTTTTAAGCATATCCTTGTCGTGTAAACGTACCCTCAGTTTACTTGTTCCAGCCATCATTAGTTGTCATGGTTACTAAGTATACTACTAATTAGAGCACACGTTTTGTAATGTGGTTCATTTGCGTGTGTATTTAAGACCTTCAGTTCTCTCCACTATTTGTCTGGTGTTGTTACTTTGATTCTTATTTTGTTTAAATTAAGTTGCTTGACTGTTTGACGTACTTCTGCTCTCATCTTCATCTTTGTGGACTACATTGTGATACTGAGTGAGAGTTATCTAAACGCTTCTGACAGTGATGGTTCTCGGTTATTTAGCTCTCAGAAAACCAATTACTAAATCCTATAGTCCTGATGGACAGCTGAGCCATCGCCAAAAATAAGTACAAACAGGGTTAGGGGGCGCTCACACAAGACACATTATTAAAAACAGAGGCAGAATAGACAAAACGTAGGGTCTCGAGACACGTTTTTGAAAGTTAATTCAAAATCAGCACAAAAACAGATAACAGAAAGAAAAAAAATCATGAAAATAGAAAAAAACACCAGCAAATTAAGAAAACATCTTTATCACTTTGACAACACGTGCTGCAAATACTCCCAACACAACCAAATACAGAAACACACCTGTAGCAAATACAACGCAGCCAAATACAGAAACACACAGCAAATACTCACAACTCAACCAAATACAGAGACAGACAGCAAATACTCACAACTCAACCAATAATAGAAACACACAGCAAATACTCACAACTCAACCAAATACAGAGACAGACAGCAAATACTCACAACTCAACCAATAATAGAAACACACAGCAAAAACTCACAACTCAACCAAATACAGAAACACACAGCAAATACTCACAACGCAACCAAATACAGAAACACACAGCAAATACTCACAACTCAACCAAATACAGAAACACACAGCAAATACTCACAACTCAACCAAATATAGAAACATGCAGCAATTACTCACAACTCAAGCAATTACAGAAAATGCAAATTACAGAAACACACAGCAAATACTCACAACTCAACCAAATACAGAAACACGCAGCAAATACTCACAACTCAACCAAATATAGAAACATGCAGCAATTACTCACAACTCAAGCAATTACAGAAAATGCAAATTACAGAAACACACAGCAAATACTCACAACTCAACCAAATACAGAAACACGCAGCAAATACTCACAACTCAACCAAATATAGAAACATGCAGCAATTACTCACAACTCAAGCAATTACAGAAAATGCAAATTACAGAAACACACAGCAAATACTCCCAACTCAACCAAATACAGAAACACGCAGCAAATACTCACAACTCAACCAAATATAGAAACATGCAGCAATTACTCACAACTAGGGGTGTAACGGTACATGTATTCGTATTGAACCGTTTCGGTTCGAAGCTTCCGGTTCGGTACGCATACAAACCGAACGGTTGTTTGGACTATTTTTCCTGCCGGCAAAATTTGTGCTGACGCGAAATTCGTCTGGCTGGAATGGTGAAATGCTTTCAAGTACTTCACACATCTTCCAGCACTTCAAAATTCAAACATTATCTAAATAAATATATATATATAAATGTTATTTTTAATGTGATGACCAAAACATTATTTGTTCATCCTTCAAAGATGACCCCCATTTATAAACCTGAAAGTTTCAAGATCTAGGAAAACTCACACTTATTTAAAAATATATTTTTTCTTTAAACAAATAGAAAATTTCTTTTTTTTTTCATTTCTTTCTTTTTGCTGTATCGAAAACGTACCGAACCGTGACTTGAAAACCGAGGTACGTACCGAACCGTGATTTTTGTGTACCGTTACACCCCTACTCACAACTCAAGCAATTACAGAAAATGCAAATTACAGAAACACACAGCAAATACTCACAACTCAACCAAATACAGAAACACGCAGCAAATACTCACAACTCAACCAAATATAGAAACATGCAGCAATTACTCACAACTCAAGCAATTACAGAAAATGCAAATTACAGAAACACACAGCAAATACTCCCAACTCAACCAAATACAGAAAAAGCGTTGCAAATACTCACAACGCAACCAAATTCAGAAACACACAGCAAATACTCACAACCCAATACAGAGACACACAGCAAATAGGCCTACTCACAACTCAACCAAATACAGAAACACACAGCAAACTCACAACTACACCAAATATAGAAACACACTGCAAATACTCACAACACAACCAAATACAGAAACACGCTCCAAATACTCACAACTCAACCAAATACAGAAACACACAGCATACTCACAACTCAACCATACAGAAACAGGCTGGAAACTAACAACAAGCAATAACAGAAACATACAGAAACACGCTGCAAATACTCAAAATGCAGATACAGAATACTCACAACGCATACAGAAACACGCAGCAAATACTCATAACTCAACCAAATACAGAAACATGCTGCAAATACTAATGACTCAACCAAATACAGAAACATGCTGCAAATACTAATGACTCAACCAAATACAGAAACACGCAGCAAATACTCACAACTCAACCAAATACAGAAACACGCTGCAAATACTAATGACTCAACCAAATACAGAAACACGCAGCAAATACTCACAACTCAACCAAATACAGAAACACGCTGCAAATACTTACAACTCAACCAAATACAGAAACACGCTGCAAATACTAATAACTCAACCAAATACAGAAACATACAGAAACACGCTGCAAATACTCACAATGCAACCAAATACAGAAACATGCTACAGAAACACGCTGCAAATACTCACAACGCAACCAAATACAGAAACGCACAGCAAATACTCATAACTCAACCAAATACAGAAACACGCTGCAAATACTCACAACTAAATCAAATACAGAAACACGCTGCAAAAACTCACAACTCAACCAAATACAGAAACACACAGCAAATACTCACAACTCAACCAAATACAGAAACACGCTGCAAATACTAACAACTCAACCAAATACAGAAACATGCAAAAACAGAAACACGGTGCAAATACTCACAATGCAACCAAATACAGAAACACACTGTACTCACAACGCAACCAAATACAGAAACTGCAAATACAGAAACAAGCTGCAAATACTCACAATGTAACCAAATACAGAAACACGCCGCAAATGCTTAAAACTAATCTAAACACAAAAAAGTGCAGCAAATACTCACAAGACAAATACGACCAGAATGTTAACATAAACAAAACTCACCTATCAGGTCATCGACAACACCACTGATGAATAGACATTGAACAATAAACATATCCCAGCCAGGGGTCCGTTTCCCGTACAACTACGTTGTTCACTGTTTCACTACCATAGTACGATGCATCGTTGGAAAAATCAACTAGCTAGTCACGACTGTTTCCCGAAACCCACTGTCGCAAAGTATCGTTCAACCACGTTGGTTTCGCACGTGGTGGAGTAATAACTACCTTTAATGAAACTGTTTGAGATCCAATTAACGCTAGATTTGTTTTATATAAATTACAGACATGTCATCTGAGGACTATTTCTAATTGTTCTCAGTTATTTTGCTTTATTACCAGACTTAATATTTGGCTCGTTCTTACATAGTAGAGCACGTTCGAACATGCCCACTCTTCAAACACGGTACTTCAAAACTTTTGACAAACTAAAAGATGTAAATTCCATTTTTATGTATTCTAAATAAAAGGCACTGGTTGTACTGAATGTCAGCTTGCTTATTTTGCTCAAGATAAGGATTTATTAAATGTCATGCAATATAGAAACGATGCCTCTAACCACAGGTCGAGAGCTGTCGTTCAAACCACACAACTTTGCGATGCTGTTTGCGAATGTTCCTTGGAACGATGGTTTCGGGAAACAACGATTCGTTGAACTATGCAGATAACGACGGAACTTGCGGCCATAGTTGGCTAACAATGCTTTCGGGAAACGCACCCCAGGTTTGTCACTTGTTGGGGTCCCCTGGAAACATTTATCTTGTGGTTTGTAATATTTGCAGTGTCTTTCTGTACATGGTTGAGTTGTGAGTACGTGTTGTCACACTAATGAAGATGTTTTCTTTATTTGCTGGTGTTTTTTCTATTTGCATCTGTTTCTACTTTTCACCACTTTTACTATGCTTTTAAAAGTCATTCTAACAGTTTACTTAATGAGTCATTTGCTCAATGGTAGAACAGAAACTGTTAAGTGTCTCCTTCGGCTGCAACATGCATAATTTGTCAGCTGATTCATTTAGATAAACTCACAATCCTCATCAAAGCTATGATCAGTTGCCACATGATTCAGTATGCAAATTTGTTA